TGAATGCAATTTTGTTGCATTATGGAATGAAAGGGTGCATTTAAATATTTCTGCTTTTCTGCATTCATTTGTGAGGTTTTTACAACCTGATACATGGTCAATTTTTGTGAAGGTGCCTTCCTGTTCCTCCTAAAAGTCTGTTTTGTTGTTGATCATTTCCTTCTTCAGTCTGCCCTCTCTTATATCACTCTCTCTTTCTATTATCCTCTTCCCCTCCATTTCTTGTTGGATAAGATAGACTTCTATATTCACCTGAGTGTGTAATGTTCATCCCTCTTTGATACAGTTCCAATGAGAATGAGGTTCCAGTGTTGCCTGCCATGGATTATGAATATATCACACTGGACACTTGTATGCTTTCTTTCCTATATTCTGCTGTCTGTAATGTATTACATAAAATATCAAAGGCATGCAGTGAGCTGTAGTTATAGAGAACATTTGTGATTCTTAGAAACTTTGCAATGTCCCCTTTTACCTTCCAAAAAAAAAGCCACTACTAATAGTACAGATCCAGGAGAATCCATGGCCAGGCATTGCCATGTGCCCTAAATTATCTGTTACTTTGTTCATAATGTAGTTTTACTTCCCATTTTGAATTATCCTTTTGAATTAAAAAAATACAATTTTGGTAGAAACCAGCAAAATTCAGTATTTTGAAGACAATGATAGGTGAAATACAATGAACAAAAATGCCTGGATGGAATTATTTCTTTTTGTTTTTTTAATTTTTAGGCAATTGGGCTTAAGTGACTTGCCCAGGGTCACACAGCTAGTACGTGTCAAGTGTTTGGTCTGAGGCTGGATTTGAACTCAGGCCCTCCTGACTTCAGGGTGCTCTATCCACTGTGCCACCTAGCTGCCCCTGGATAGAATTATTAAGCAAGACCAAAAGATCATATTTAGTACTAGAATTTTTCATATTGTTGATGATAGCATTTATATAGTGCTATAAGGTTTCCAAAGCACCTATTATATCATTTGATCTTAACACTTACTGTTGGAGATTGATACAATTATTATCTTTATTTTACAGATGAGGAAACTGAAGCATGGAAAGTTTAAGTGGTTTGGCCAGGCTTGCACAGATATTGTGTCTAAGGCAGGATTTGAACTCAGGTTTTCCTGACTCTAAGTCTAGTACTCTCTCCACTGAGCCACATAGCTCCTCCTGACTGAGCCTTTCATATAATTATTAGCCTGTTAAGTTAAAAAAAAACCTTACTTGTGAGCAGCCACTGCAGCCACAGCTTCCAGCACAGCAGGCTTGGTCACTTTCCCTCCAAAGGCTCCACCAGTTCGTTTCATGTGGCACATGATCCTGCTCCTTGGGACACCCAAAGCAGCAGCTACGAAATTCTGCAAGAGGCAGTGCTTGGTTTTTATGATGCATTAATTTAAGTTTTATAGATAAAATGATAAGATTAGAATAATAACTAATTAGATGCATCAGTCAGTTAACAAGCTTTTATGAAGTGCTTGCTATTTGCCAAGCACTGTGCTAACTTCCGGAGTTACAAAGATGGGGTGGGGAGAGGGAAGAAGCACTAACGGCGCTCAAAATAATTTCAGGGGAAATGAAAGAAAATGCCAGAAAGAAGGTGTTAGCAGTTAAGGGTGGGACTGGAAAGATCTCCTGCAAAAGGAAGATTTTTAGCTGTCTTAAAGGAGTTCATGGAAGCTGAATGGAAGTGAGGAGGGAGAGTAATTCTTGGCATGAAGAATGGTCAGGAAAAAAGGTATAGTCAAGGGATGAGGAGTCTGTCCTATTCAAGGATCAGCCAGTGATGGTGGATTATAGGAAGGAGTCATATTATAAAAGTCCTTAAATTTCAAAAGAGCGTATTGCATTTGATTCTAGAAGTACAAAGGAGTCACTGGAAATTATTGGTGGTAGTGGATGGAAGGGTAAGATGTGTTCAGATCTGAACTTTAGGATAATCACTTGGCCAGCTGAATGGAGGATTTACTGGAGTGTGGGGAAACTAAGTAGGAAGACCAATTAGATGGTGATTGCAATAGTCCACGCATGAAGTAAAGAAGGCCTGAACCAGGGCAGAGGCTGTGTGAATGCCAGGAAGGGGACATATAATAGAAACATGAAGGTAGAAACTACAAAACTTGATTACACATTAATATAGATTGGATACATGGTGTGAGTGTGAGTAAAGAGTTAGTTAAGGATAACATCAAGGTTGTGAACCTGGGTGACTGAGAATGCTAGTGCCTTAAGGAATAGGGAAGTTAGGAAGGGGCAAGTATTTGGCGGTGGCAAGGGAGAGATAACTTCTGTTTTGGACATATTGAACTTGAGACATTTATGGTGTATCCAATTTGAGATGATAAAAAATAAAACAACTGGTGATATGGAATTAAGGCTCAAGAAAAAGACTAAGGCTGGATTTGTAATATTTTTGCCAAGTGAAATAAATTAATTCATTAAAAAGAAAAACCAAAAAGCAGATAAACAATGAAGATGAATTAGAAATCAAGACTGTTACTGAAAGCAAAATCTATATGCTATTTGCTTGGGGAGTCAAGGCTGAAAATTTTCATTTCAGGAAAATCAACCAATACATCAAATATGTCTGAAATAATTTGTAGTGTTTATCACCCAGGGTCCCCAACCTCTGCTAATAATAGGAAAAATCTCTTCTCATATTAATTCTTTGGTATTAAGCTTGGTGTTTATAATTTCACAGCATTCAGTTTCACTTTTGTAGTCATTCTTTTCATTTACATTGTTGTGGCTACTGTATATGTTTTTCTCATTCTGTTCACTTGTACAGATCGAAAATTTATTATGTAATGGAAATACAGGTAGAATTTCCTTGAATGTGGAATTATCATAATCAGCTACAATTATTTTTGCTGCATCTGCTTTTGCAGATAGAATGATATGAGACAAATGCCTATTTGAGAGGAAATTAATCTGGTGGTGCTATTTTCTTCTGCTATTGCAGAAACATTATTTCATCTCATAAAAAGAACAATGCAGATTGTTATACCAAATAGAGTTGGTCTAAAATCCTAAATAAAGTCCATATATCATATTTTCATACATGCATAATTGGCTAATGTAGGCAAGTTCTACACGACAATCAAACCAACATTTAGAAAAGGATCTTTCAAACAATAATGTAGATTTTGAAACTTGTTTTCTTTTAACTTAGTTGATATATAATCTGGTTCCTGAAGAGAAATAGAACCTAGTTATAGAATTTGGGAATGTAGGAAATGTTCTAATTGTTTTGAAAGCTTTTTAAGGAACCTCCTGTCTTATTTTTGTTTCTGTTTTTAAAATCCTCAATTTCATCAGTAGCCAATGTACTAGAAAAGAAGGTGATGATGTAGTATCCAAAGACCAGGGAACCATTATGCCATGTCTATGATGATACTGTGGTGGGATCCATCCAATAACAAACTTAAGGCACGGCCCCAAAGAGGAAAGAAGACATAGCTCTCTGAAAATGCTCCATTTTACCTGAACATGAGTTGGATACTGCATTCCTGCGTGTATCACCATTTCTTTATCTTCTCTTGTTGGGTGTACCAGGATAGTTTGTGTTTCCATATAAAAATGTTCTTGCCCTTCAACATGGACTTCACCTGTTATAACCATCAGGAAAGGAAAGGAAAAGAAAGTCTTTACTAGGTCATAATCATTTATTATTTTCATTCTATTCAAAGAAACCTATATTAGCTTAAAATGGCTACTTTATTTCTTTTGATTTAAAATGATATACTCTAGTCCTGACTCCATCTTTAACTAGCTCCCTGACCTGGAACAAAAGACAGAGTCTCTCTGTGCCTCAGCTTCCCTATCTATGAGATGAAGATATGGGTCTAGATGTTTTCTAAGGTTTTTTCCACCTCTAACCTTCTATGAATCTATGGTAAGTGGGGGGAGGGGGATTTTAATTTGGTTTAAAATGAGGTTAAACATGAACTCCAAAGAGGTTTGTAAAGAGTTCAGAGATATTTGTGAACTCCTACAGGAAAATTTTACACTTTTCTTTTATTGTGATTGATTTCCTTTATAATCCTGTATTTTTTTCCCTTTTATGCATTTAAAAGCATTATTCTAAGGAGAGGTCCATCAGTTTCATTAGACTGCCAAAGAGGGCCATGGACACACACAAAAGTTTAAGAAGCCCTGATACAACCTAACTTTCTAAAAAAATTTTGTTTGGCGTCATCAGAATAGAAATATTTGATTGAGGATTCATCATTTCCTTTCTCTGTCCTGATAACTTTTATACAAACTGAGAAAATATCTAGAGTCTTTTTTTTCCTTTTCTTTGGCAAATGACATATTACATTATCCTGTAGTTTCTTTAGAACTGATCACACCTTTTCCTAAAACATATAGACATTAATGCTGCTGATCTATAATTATAATTCTAGTGACATTCAGATCTGAAGCTTAACAATTATTCTGCTTCTTGAAATTGAGAAATTGGGAACCTATCCTGGTTATGGAACTCAGTGTTCCTCACCTGAGATATACACAAATTCTGGCATTTCACATTATGTTTACTATATGCACTTTTAGGACTGTTATTCAGTCATACTGTGGATATTTTATTCTCCGTTGTATTAAAGCATTTCACCTTGAATATCAATTTAGGTCTCCTTGACTGAGAAGCAACTCTTATTGGCATATATTCCCAATCCTTGTAGGGTACTTGTACACTCACAGGAGTTAAGTTCCACTTAGGGAAAAATCAATCCCAGAAGCAGGATGAATTTTCTTTCAGTACAATTCATTCTATTTTTTCATTTTCTATTATTTGGTAAGCTCCTTTTCTTTTTCAAAAGCACTACGTATGATGAATGCAAAGGCAACATTATAATGGAGTTTAATACAAACACTTTTATGTTTGGTATAATGTTTGAGTTCTTCCTAGCTTGCCTATATTCCTGATTTCCTTCAAAGGGGGCCAAAGTTAGACCAAGTTACATGTTCCTGATCCAATCATCCTAACAACTCAGAGATGCTAGATAAGTCTTTTTAAGTTAATTTTTTTCAATGAACAAAAATACATTTTCTCTTATGATATCCCCCAATTAAAAATAAGATAAAAAGACCAAACCCTTGTGAAAAGGGTTATAGCCAAATAAACAAATTCCTATATTGGCCACATCCAAAACATTTATGTCCCAATCTGCACCCAAAATCCCTCCCCATTCTGTCAGAAGGTGGATAGCCTGCTTTATTATGGGCAGTTTGTTAAATTTTTAAATATTTTAGTCAACAGGCATAGCTTTGGGATGGCGTGAGCTAAAGTTATTGTTTATGTACATTTGGTCATTAAGCAATGCTATCGAATGTGACATCAGATTCTCCTTTCTCCCTCTTGGGTTTCAGCTCATCTGTTTTATGGATCAGAAGGATACTGAATCATAACTTTAGAATATATTGATCTGTTTTAGCTTTATTATTGACTTTAAAGATTTTTTATGGCCAACACAAGTGAGAAAGAAACTGAAATTTAATCCATGTCATTGCGACCTCTGCTGGTTAAGAATAACATATACAGATGAGTGAAGATAATATCTAAAGTAGGAGCAAACATTTAAGAAGCCTCAAACCACACACGTTTTTCTCCTAGGACATTGTCCCGAAGGAAAAGGACTAAAGTAGTACCATGTTTCTGTATTTTCCATATACATTAATGAACCAATACCAATCTTGCCATGATAATTTCCATATTGCTCAGAAAAATGACCATGAGAAATTGATTTATATGGACAAGTTGTCCCTGATGCTTGCAGGGTTTCTCTGTTGTAGAGACTTTAGACTGGAGAGAGAGACACAAACATATCTATACATGTATATGTGTATTCATAGGTGTATATATACATATGCATCCACATGTATACATACATATATACATATGTACATACATATATATGTGTGTATGTATGTATAGATAGATAGACAGATAGATATTAGATTTATGTACTCTACTACGGCATACGGTCGTCTGAAAAATAACTGCCAAAAGGCATTTTTTAGGGATTAGAAGTTTTGATCAGATGATATGGAAAGAAACCTTCATTCCTTTGACCTTTAGAATGGATTTGAACTGCATTCACTGAAAAAGAATGACACTTCTCAGTGGGGGAGGGTTGATTGTCTCTTGCAAGGAGATGAAACAAAAGTATCTGTATCATGAAGTTCTTTTTTTTTTCTTTAGACCATGAAAATCTAGAGGGAAAAAACAGCAGTAATTGTCTCATCTATATTCTTCTGTACACATCTCCTATGGAGAGAAGGATATCAAAGGGAGTGTGACTGGGAGGGTCTATAAAAGCTCTGAGTCTATTTCATGAATTTCAAGATAGAATCTGGCAAACCACTGAAGCAAGGAACTTTGGGCAGCATTTGATAGTTATGATGAGAAGCAACATAGCAAAGCAGAAGGAACATTTAATAGCATCAGGAACTCTGCTTCAAATTTTGACTCCATCATGGACCATTAGCTTTGTAACCATGTATAAGTGTTTTTATCTTCCAGAACCTCAGTTTCTTCAACTATTGAATGGGTATAATAACACTTTCCTTACATATCATGATAAAATCACTTTCTAAATATTAAAATGTTAAGAAATTGAATTACATAATTCATTCCCTACATTGTATTTGCTTATTAAGCCAGTTTGGTGTACTGGATAGAGTCTTAGGCTGGAAGTCAGGAAGACCTGGGATCAAAACCTTTCTGTCACACACGTACTAGATGTATAACCATGGGCATGTTGCTTAAGATATACTTAAGATAATAATTTGAAAAACAATTGTTGATCTTTGTTAGCAGAGTTTTCTCATTTTTAAACTCCTTTCACATATTAAATCACATTCCCATTCTAAAATTTAAAAAATTGCATTGAGCACTATTGGCCATCCCTCTTCCTGGATCTCATGATGTTACTGTCCTCTGGTTCTCCTACCAATAAGACTGCTTCTTCATCTCCTTTTCTGCCTCAATGTTCTACACTATAGCCATATTCCCCACTTTCCCAATCATGAATATCTGACAAAAATTTGTCCTGAGCCTTTTTCTGTTTCTTCTCAGTACCCAGGTTACATGGTTTCAATTTTCATTTCTATATATATTACTTATATATTGATATATCCAGACCCAATCTCTCTCCAATTTGTAGTTCACATTACTACCTCTCTGAAGACCACCTGCAAGTTCCTCATCCCAGATAAAGAAAAACTTACCTTCAATTATTTCATCTACATATTTAAATGCTTTGTCTACATTTCCTTTTTCTATTTTCTTCTATTTAAAAAAAAGGAATTATATTTTATGGCATCCTGTGGAGAGAACAATAGAAGGGTGTATTAATATTTTTCAGAGGAGTTTTAATACCATTATTAGTTGTCCTTCCCTACCTATTTCAGTGACAATAAAGTAAACTGAAGTATGATTTTGATTGGTTCATAAATATCATTTACATCACTTACTCATTCCATGGGTTTATTGAGTGCCTACTACGGAAAAAGGATTTGAGAGATTAGAAAAGAAATTAGTGCTTATTCTCAAGTAGCTGGTGTTACGTAATATGAAAAATACCCTCTGCCCTACGTCACCTTGTGTTGCCCCACTGCACTTCAGGCAATCTCTTCCAAAAAGAAGTAGATGGAGCTCATAAAACCAATGATTCAGCTAAGTTGCATTCTACAGAATCTAATTTTGCAGCTCTTATCACCATTTTTCCACTGGTATGCATACTACGCAGAGGGTTAATAGGCCTTCCCTCTCTATTTCCCTTCTTCTCCTTGCCCCTTGCTCTTAGTCTTGTCAGATTTGGATGTGCACTTTCAGTTCCTTACTTTCTTTGGCATAAATTGACTCATTCTCTCAGGTAGCCATACTGAGATCATCCTCACCACAGCCTCACTCACCCTCTCACTCTTTTCTGTAGGGGAGGGGTTCATAACCTGGGTATGTTCTTTTTTTCTCTCCTGATTTGCACAGTCATTTGAGATGTGTCTGGTAGTTATCAAAATCCATAAAGATTTCACAGGTCCTGCTGTGTAACAGAGATGTCAAAAATCCTACAGGCTTCCGGCCAGTCTTCCCAATAATCATTGTGTAAATCTTTATACTTCCATTTGTCTAAGGAGGTATTGGGGAACAGTGGGAAAAGTGGCTTTGGAACTAGAGAACATAGGTTTAGATTCTCTCTCTCTCTCTCTCTCTCTCTCTCTCTCTCTCTCTCTCTCTCT